TCATCATCATCATCATCATCATCATCATCCTCCTCCTCCTCATCATCATCATCATCATCAGCTTCATCATCCTCGTCCTCATCATCATCATATTCATAATCATCATCATCATCATCATCATCATCATCATCATCATCAGCATCAGCATCAGCATCAGCATCATCATCATCATCATCATCATCATCATCACCACCACCATCACCATCATCACCATCATCACCATCATCACCATCATCATCATCATCATCATCATCATCAGCATCATCATCATCATCATCATCATCATCCCCACTTTCTCCTCCTCCTCCTCTTTCTCCTCCTCCTCCTCTCCCTCCTCCTACTCCTCCTCCTCTTGTGCCCCAGCTCTTCACTCCCTCTTCCTACTCCGCGCTAGAATTGACTTCTGCCTGCGATCAGACACCACATGGGACAGTTGGGAACGCGAGCTTCTGCAGCATATGTTGTACAGGGGCCCTGGCTCACCCGCGCTGCCCCCCAACGCGCTTGCTGGCCGGCCAGCCGGCGGACTCGGCGCGCTCCGCTCCGATCCGCCCCAGCCCCTCCCTCCCTCCAGCCGGGAAGCAATCACTCCTCCGACCCGAGGCGCCAAAGAGTTTCCAAGCCTCCCAGATGGTGTCGGAGTAACTGGGGTCTCGGTGGATCGCGGCGCATCGCCGATGCATCGGCGATGCGGCTCGATGTGGAGCCCGATTTTCTCCACGCCGGCGTCGCTGAAGCATTGCTGACGTCGACCAGGCATCGGCGATGCATTGGCGATGCTGCGCGATCCTCTGACCCCATCTACTCGGACTCTATTTTGGGGGCCTCTAGAGTTGGCTCTGGTGTTGTGGCCCTGGAAGTCCTCCAAATCCTCCAAGCGGGTGATCGGGCTCTCTTGCAGCATCGCCTGGCTTCGGCAGACACCCCCCCGAGCGGAGCTCACGGCCTTCGCTGGTGCCCTCGAGCCTCGCCGAGGCCCGCTCAGAGCTGTTTCGGACCACAAGACCCTTGTGGATGGTTGGGCCATCGATCGGCGTAAGCTGGTTTCGTTTGCGTGTGTGAGTGCCGACTTCTGGTTCCGCATCGGCGGGGCCGCCCGAACCCGAGACCCCGACCCCCCGCCCGAGTGTGCTGGACCCGCTCCAACACCGAACCAGGGGACATGCAGCCCTCCCAGGGCCTGATGTGGGCTGTGGCCACTGTTTCACTGCTTCACGGTTTCCCTGGTTCACGCAGCATCATGTTTCATTGTTCTACTCGCATGGTTTGACCGATCCCTGTCCCCTTCTCCATCCCCGTCCAGATCCCCACCATCCCACCACTCTAGTTGGGGATATGCCCTTCGTGTCAATGGCACAGGATCCGTGCCAATGTAATTTCACTTATCATGATTATGTCTTGCAGTAAAGCAGTGCTGCATATGATTTGTGGTGATTTGATGTACGTGTGCTGTCGCACACGTGAGTTCGCACCGGCGCCGTTATTGATGGGCCCCTGAGTCAATCAAAATTATCCCAGTGCGACCCTACCTAGGAGTTGGAGCCTCTAGGAAAGCAACATTAGTAGGAGCGGTAAACGCCGTCCTCCTCCTTCTCCCCGTCGTCGTAGTTGTAGCAGACATTTAGGACATGCGATAATACGTCGGGTTTCATGGGTCCCGGCCGGTGCTATGTGCGAAACCTTCGTGAATCCTAAGGGCTCAAGCTGCCCCACTAAGGGCTCAAGATGGCCCACAGACGGTCAACATGCATGGAACATACGTGCGCACACACAATATAAGTACATATATGTATATACATCTATATAGCAGCAATAGTGGATGCTGTGCTGCGCTATGCTATGCAATGCTATGCTCTGCTCTGCTCTGCTCTGCTATGCTATGCTCTGCTATGCTGCGCAATGCTATGCTGGGCTATGCTATGCTATGCTATGCTATGCTATGCTGTTCTATGCTATGCCATGCTGCGCTATGCTATGCTATACTATGCTATGCTATGCTATGCTATGCTATGGTTTTGCTTTGCCATCACTTTTGCCTTTGCCTTTGCTTTTGCTTGGCACCCAGGGAGCGCAACTGGGGGAACCGCGCGTTTGCTTTTACCTTTGCTGTTGCTTTTGCTTGGCTCCCAGGGGACTGGGGGAACCGCCCGGGGCGGTTTGCACTGCCCAGCCCCTGTAAGCCAAGCGAGTAAGAACCCTTCTAGGCAGAGCCTAGGTAGGGAATTACGAGGGAATCTCTTCGATTCCTTCCTATTTCTTATTCAGTTCTGTTTGGCTCCGTACTTCGTGCGAGAGAACCTCGATGGTTCCAGATGAGTGCTACCGACATTGGTAGCGGAGCCAGTGGCTCCAGATCCGCGGCACAAGGAATCGGAGACCTCGCTCATGGGTGATCGCACTCACCGAGAGGACGATGAGACCTTCCAGCTTCGGCGGCGGCCCACGACCCAAGGGCAAGGGCAAGCAGCAGCCAGCAGATGATGCCGGTGACGGCACAGCGGATCAACCAAGAAGCAATGTTCGGCTGGATGACGGCGACGCGGACAGTGACCTACGTGATGGAGGCCGAAACCAAGGTCGAGGCAGAGGCGACAGACAGCCGCAGATGGACGCAGGATTGGCGAAGTGCTGCCCAGACGCGACGGACCTACGGCACGACACGCACCGCAACTTTACAAGGAGAGCGACGGTGTTCCAGCGACTGTGTCAGCGCCGAGGTGGGACGGTGGTAAGTGCAGGAGCATACCTCTTGCTGCAGGCGGTGCAAGGCGATGCCTGGGACGCCTGCGAGAGTATCAGCTTCGAGAGGATGGACATGCTGTACATGTCCACGCAAGAAGTGGAGTTGCCGGGAAGATGCGACGCGTTCTTTGGAGAGTTATCGAGGCTGCCGAAGGCAATTCTGAACGCGTGCGTGCTCCGACACGGCTAGGAGTTGTCCAAGTTACGAGAAGGAAGGCTGCACCTACGGGACTTGCTGGCTGGTTGGCACATGATGACGAGGTCGGCAATTCCACGGTGGCAGATTCCGAACCTAACGGCGCTGTGTAACAACGAGCTCACAGTGCAGGTCGTGTCAGAATCACCCACGACGAGGTTCGGCGGCGACAGTGCCGCACGTAAAAAGGACATCGAGCGAAAGACGAATACGTACCGGGGCGAGAGGTACGAAGCTGGCGACAGCTACTGGGCAGAAGAAGAGGACGACGATGCCTTCTGGTACGAGGATGACTACACGGACGAGCTGTACTACGAGGACGACGTGTGGTATAAGGAAGACGAGCCGATCCCCGAGGAGCTCGAGGACGCGTGCGAAGCGACGGAGGAGGCCTGCGTAAACTACACGGGTGCCTGGGCGAAGATGAGAGAGCTGGCGACAACGGGAGGTTTCTACCCGGATGTGGCGCTGATGGGTCACCGACGAGGACTGCCGCCACCGCGGGCCGGCAATCTGCGGCCGCCCAGAACGGGCGAGGACGAGCGAGCTCGGGGCACGGCGAGCCACGTAGAAGTTCAAGCAAGGGTAAAGCAAGAGGCAGATACGGCGGCAGAGCACCATGCGGAGGCAGAGGTGGAGGCAAGGCTGGGTGGCGCCCCGGCGGCTCGCCTAAGATGGCCGCCGACTCAGCAGCGCAGGCCACGACCCAGGCGGCGACGAGATGGCGCAGAAGCCGACGGGCCCGAAGATGCGAAGATGTTGTACGAGATGCGTTGTGACATGACGATGAGTGACATTGCGCCGAGCCCCGAAACGACCACGATAGAAGAGGTGAACTTGGCTACGTACAAAGGTGTCGGCGACAGTGGAGCGACGAAACCAGCGATGGTTCTCGAGGAGTGGCCAGCGTGGCGCGAGAAGCTTCAGAAGATGGGCCTGTCCGACGAGATCCAGACGGCCAGGTGCCGCAAGACGTCCAGGTCTGCCAACGACGAGAGAGCGGCGGCGAAGCAGCGCCTGACGTTTCCGGTCGTGGAAAAGAACGCGAAGAGCAGATGACAGTTTACTTCGTTCCAGGCCGAGTGTCTCTGTTGGTGGCAAGGCCCCGTCTCGAGGAGCGGGGCATAGTGATCGACTACCGCAGCGAGAAGGATATGTATCTAGACGAGCAGGAACTGGAGTGGATCGACGTGGAGACGAACGAGAGAGGCCACGTGGTCATCAATCTGCCTAGCTTCCCGTCCGATGTGTTACAGGCCTCGGAACAAATTGGCGAACGCTCATGCCGTATTCATCTGTCAGCACCTCCCTCTCCCCCTCATGTTCAAAGTTGGCGGTGTGTCTGATGACGTGCACTTCGACCGCAGTCTCCCCCGCGCGTGCCAACAATGAGTTTTTGCGGGAGGGGGGTGTTCAGTAGTTGTTCCCCTCTACCGTAGCGGCAGATGAGGAGTCGATCTCGAAGGGCTCGGGCGCCGACGGCGACCGCGAGGTGGAATGCAAGAAGGAAACGGACTTCTTCGTGACCAGCAGCTACGGAGGTGCCAAGATCGAGAATGCGGAGACCGCGAAGTTCAATGCGAAGCAGCCGGGGGGTTGGTTCGCAGAGACTAAACGCGCGTTGGACAGCAAGCCGAAGGCAAAGAGGCGGTTCTGGGAGATCTTCGTTGCAGAGACGCACCGCGCGCTGCGTGGAAATCCGCGGCGACCTCAAGACAGGGAAGTCTGCGCTGGAGACAGGCTGGGACTTCGCGAACGGCTCGCATCGCAAGGCATTCATGCGGGAGCTGGCGAAGAAGAGGCCTGAAGAAGTGTGGATGGCACGGCCGTGCGCTGCGTGGTCTACGATGAGCGCATTGGCGGAAGCGAACGAGAGCAACGAATACCGACGGCGGCGACGGAGAGAGCGCGCCAAGCAAAAGCGTGACTTCCTGTGGTTCAGTCGGGAGATCTACGAGTCAGAGCGCCCTCGATGCGCGACGTCTTGGGAGACCGAAGCGTGGTGCGGCATGACTGGCTGCGGCGCGTTCGTGGACCAATGCGCCCGCGGGCCCGTGGCGCTGGACTCGGCAGGTTGAAGGCTCGGGCTGATCAAGAAGCCGACCAACGTAAGGACCACGAAGCTCCAGATGTACGAGGGGCCCTTTGAGACGTGCAGCTGTGAGGAGAAATGCGTGAATCTCGAGGGCGGGCGCAACGTGCGCGGCATGGGGAACTACCCGGGGAAGATGGCATTCCCGGCAGCGATCAGCATCGTGGACAATTCTCAGAACGAGGCCAGCTACGCGGTGGAAGAGATGACCCAGGAGGACTTCGACAATATCGAGTGCAAGATGGCGTGGAAGGCGCTGCTGGAGAAGTTCGCCGTCGTGGACGTCAAGTGGGCAGAGAAGGTGCGCGCCCAGATGGGCCATCCCTCGAGCGAGGTGTTGGCAGCGGCATTGAAACAGATGAACGCGGACGACCGACTGATCAACTGTGCGAGGATATACATATGCGAGACATGCCTCAAGCGGTAGAGGCCGAAGTCAGTGCGAGTCGCCCGCGCCCCGCGTTGACATCGACGCGTTCCAGGTGGTTTGGAAGGACAAGCAAAATATGAGGTTCACCAAAATGGACGAGAGCTCGAGGTTCGAGGTCGATGCGGCGTTGAAGGGCGAGAGCGCGCGCGCTGAGATCGCGGCGCTCGAGATGCGCTGGATCAACTTGGGTGGGGGCGCCGGCCAAGATTCGAGCGGGCCAGACTGGCGCGCGCGTGAGTGGCGAGTTCGCGGGGTGGTGCGACGGCCGGCAGATCGAGCTGCAGCTGATTCCAAGAGGTGCTCATCATCGACGGGGCAATCTCGAGCGGAATCATCAGGTGTGACGGGAGCAGATGGTGCGATATCATGAAGATCGTCCTGGGGACAGTTTGAAGATTGTGGCGCGCGCGACATGCGACGCGCGCGACCAGCCGCGCAACGGGAAGGGGTTTGCGCTGTCGCAGCGGGCGCCAGGGAGACGGCCAACGAACCTGGGCAGCCAAAGAAACGGGCGACCTCGGCGACCGCGACGAGGAGTTCAACCGCAACCTGGCGCGCGGGCGGGGCGCGGGCGAGGCCTTTCTGCGGCGAACGTGGCGAGAGCACTTCGGGGGGCGCTGGCGACCAGGGTCCGGCCTCTCGAGAGAGTTCCAGATCGGCGGGTGGGCGTGCTTCCGGAGGCGCGACAAAGACGAGAGCGACCTCGTCGAGAGCTATTGGGAGGGCTGGCGATGATAGCGCACGTCGAGTGCGCGGGCGATCCCGATAAGCTTAGACAGTCAGTGCCGTGGTGCGCGCATGGCAGCGCGCTCTTGCGGGCAACGCGGAAGCTGCTGCGAGCCGAACTGCCGGGGGAGCGACGGCAAAGAGAAGAAGGAGAGGAAGATGGAGATCACGGAGTACCATTGTCGACGGCCGAGCGAGTGCTAGAGAAGCAGAAGAACATCAGCGGATCCGCGAAGATCGCGGACCACGCGGGCGACGTCATCGGCCAGCCGGGGGACTGCGAGGACGAGCACTTCCCCATGGAGATGGACATGAAGGGCATCGACGCTGACGGCCAGGTGGAGGCGACCGAGGCCGATCGGCAGGGCGAGCACCGCGAGGGCGAGCACAGCGACGACGGTGACCGAGGGGTATCCGAGGTGGCTGAGATGCAGGTGCCCACGGCGTCCGAGCCCCCGAGCCCAGACATGTCGGCTGACGCGACGCAGGGCGTGGGGTGCCCGGAGGTGGAGCGCGAGACGCTGCCGCCTGGGTGAGGTCCAGAGCAGGTCGAGATGGGGCAGGCGACGAGCGTGACCGCGGCTGAGAAGCGAAAGGCGGAGGGGCACGCGGCCGAGAACGGTGGCGAGTTGCTGGGCGCCATCAACGCGGCGAGACTACTGGGCGGATTACGGCCGCTACCGAAGAGACCGAAGCAGACCGACGTGACGACAGCGGCCGGCGCCGCGAGCAGCCTGTTCCCGTGAAGGTGGCGAGTTGCTGCTCCTGTGCGAGGACGCGGGCGCGGCCTACCTGACCAACGCGGCCAGGAAGGATTCGGTGGTGGAGGCCAGGCTGAGCGTAGACGAGCGGAGGCATTTCGACGAGGCGAAGACCAGGGCGCTGCAGCCATGGATCGGGAACCAAGCGTGGAAGGCGGTCGAGGAGAACGTAGCGGGCGCTGGAGAAGCGTGCCCCGCGCGTTCCCTGCTGAAGTGGGAAATTCAGGATGGAGTGAAAGAGGCGAGCGCGAGAGTGAGATTCTGCGAGGCTTTCGCCTGGGGGAGGTGGCCAGCGCTAGCGTGGAGAATGCGAGCCCTGCTCTCGCTTGACTTACGAGGCTCCTCATCTTGCTCACTCTGTGCCAGCACGCTTGGAAGATGGCGGCGTCGGACGTGGGGGGTGATTTTTTTCGGGCGACGAACGCCAGAGAGTAGGGAGTTCGGAATCTCAGCAGGCCGACCAAGGACATGCGACGTCGACTGGCGAAGATGATGGTCTTTCAGGACGACGAGATACCGCAGATGTTGAAGCCCGCTTCTGGAGACGCGCGAGCCCCCAGGCAGTGGAAACATGCGATCGCGACGGCCATGCTCGAGATTGGCTTCCTGCAGTACGCGCTGGACAGACGCTGTTTCCCGTTGCCGCCTGGCGCTCGACGGGTGCGATCCGTTTCTGATCTGTCAGGTGGGCAACGACCAGCACGATGTGTTGGGCGGCGTGCTGGGGCTGCGCGCGGGCGATTTCATCGGCGGCGGCGAGAACTTCGAGTGCGAGGGGGGCCTCTGCAACAAGCAGGCGTGCGAGGGCACATTTTTGGACCGGGTGCAGAGTCTCAAACAGAGGTTCAAGTTCCGTAAGTGGAAGTTCTGGAACAGTGTCGTTTTCGGTGGCATGGAGAAAACGCAGTCGTTCGAACGCGATGAGATTCAGTTGAATGCCGAGGCCCACACGCACGAGGTGAAGCCGATCAGGGCGCATCCAGGCGACCCGTGCGCGCCGAAGGGGATTAGTCAGCTCGGGGACTGAATGGGGCCATGCAGTGGCGGGCGTCCCAGCGCGCAGCGCAGGCGGCGGCGACGGCCTTGTTCGCGCAGGGCGACGTCGGCAAGGCGACGGTCGGTAGCTTACTGGGGGCCAACAAATCGCTGAGGTTCCTGAAGGCGAGTGGCGACGTGGGGATCCGCGTCAAGTTCGTGGGGGCCGGGGGCGAGCTGAGGCTCGGAGTCTGCTGGGGCGCGTCCTGGGCTGCGAGGCCGGATGGCAACTCGCTGGGCGGCCGCGTGATCTTCGCGATCGAGGGCGCCAGGATCGACGACGGGCAGCCAACGAACGCTGTTGGCGATAGTAGACATGGGCGAGCGAGGAACTCGCGAGGATCTGTCGGAATTCTTTGGTAGGCGAAGCCCCGGGCGCGGCGAGCGCAGTGGGTGCGCTGGAGTCTGCGAAGTCGATGCTCGCGGCGATGCCCCCGCCCGCGATGCAGCTGGCAGGCGCGGAGATGTTGGAGGTGTTGGGGCGCGGCCCATGCGTCGCGGACTGCAGGGCGCCGTGCGACGCGGCTAACTATCCGGCGGCGGCCGGAGGCTTGGTGGAGCGTAGGGCCTGGATCGAGATCTTGCAGGTCAGCGAGAAGATGCGGGAGTTCGGGGGTGCATGGAGATGGGCCAACGCGCGTCGGCACATGGCGGATGGTCTTACGAAGCTACGTGCGCGGCAGCAGTTCTGGGAGAAGCTGAGAAGGATGGCCCGCGCGGTCCAATTCGACGCGACGTTCGCGGCATCCATGGAGGTCAGTCAGAAGGAACGAGCTCGAGCCGAGAGAGAGAGCTGGGCGAAGCGGCGACGGATTTCGACGAGGCGACTCGGGCCGAAGACGCAGGGGCCGAGGGTGGCGACGATCATGGGGGCCACCTGAGAGAGCATGTGCGCGCGACAATTGGTGGTGCCCGTGCGGCAAGGGGGGTTGCGCAGATTTTGGCAGCGGCGGCCGCGAAATTTGTCAAAGGCGTGAAGATCGAGAAGGTTGAGGCGGAGTTTTCGTGGGTACTGGTTTCGTTGTTTGTTCTGATGGTGGCGATTTTATCTTGATGTGGACGCGCTGGCGGCTGCGTGCTGGCTCAAGTGCACGAGAGAGCAGAAGCTGATGGGCGAGGTGCGCGTGCGTGGAGACGCGCGCGCGATGGTCGAGCAGATGGCCGACGCGGCGACGACGGCGCCTAGAGCGAACGAGGAGAGAG